GAGGAGAAAGATAAGAGGAGGAGCTTAATCTATGAAGGGATGCTAGGGTTTGCTAAAAAGAGGGGTTCTTGATGCAATAGAGGTTGTAAAAAGACCTAAAACATGGGGTTGAAGCCTTTAATATGAACTAAACCGTAATTTAATAGGGTTGGGCTGCATAGCTCAAAATGTCGTGGTGAACTCTTCACCACGCTGTTGTGATGGGGTTTTCCCCATTTTCCATATGAGTTTCAAATAGTCATACCTTATTTATTTTCACTTCATTTTCAGTGATCTTTATATCCACACGAAGGTATTGACAAGCCCCATAATTCTATAGAATTATTTTTTGACTTAAAACATGCTGACCTAAATTCATTAACTCATGCAAGAAGTCTGAAATATCACTTTTCCCATTTTACACTTTGGTTCCAAAGTACAATTCAAGGGCTTAAATCACTTAACCAACATTATCAACATCCAATAGGGTCTAAAGTCTATTCCCTTAAAGCCCAATACTTTTATTTAATCAAATTACGATCTGCTAACCCGAAATAAAAAACATCCAAAAACTTGATGTTACATATATTTCCCGATGTGTACCAGATCTAATGACTCATATACCTTTACCATGACAAGTCAGATTAGATCAATATTGCGAGAATCAACGAATAAAGTTCAAGAACATTCCTAAGTGTCCTGGGAGGACAAGAGAAAGGTTATTGTTAGTATGGAAGAGATCAATGTAAAGGTTACACTAATGCGAAGTTCCACACTGATAAAAACGATTTCATTCGCAGTCGAAATTTATGCTTTTACTGAATGGTGAAGTATTAGCTTGGAAGAGTACCAAGTAATACACCATAATTGATTTAACAATAAACATAGAGTATACTGCATTTGGTTAGACTGCAATGGAAAACTATGTGACCAAAAGAGATTCATTTGTGTTGAAATTCAACAAATAAAGGTCCTTTTGAAGTTTCTTTGTGACTATAAGAGTGAATTTACCTCGAGTATGGTTCCTAAGTAACACAAGCTCACATGAAACATGCTCAGTAAGTACCATAAGATTTTATAGTTGTTCCAATGTAAAGATATGACATCCCAAAAATCATAGTAAATTTTTTTATTTTTAAAACCATTTTAATAATCCATAAATCTTTCAAAACATTATTCCAAAAACCATAATCGTTAATCAGAGTATCCCAAAATCATTTATTAATAAAATATCCAAGGATGATGTGCATAATCACGCATTCGCCTCTTCCCGGTCATTTGATGTATCTGAAACCATGAAATCACACAGTAAACCAAAACTTATTGAGTTCCCCCAAAGTACCACACACAACAAAACATATATAAACGCACATACTAGATCCACAATCATCAGACTAGATTACCCTCCGTCCTGCAGTTATCGAACCGGATGTCCTGCACAACGGTCTTAAGAGTGGTAGGGACCAAAGACACAATAAAACCAATAATAATAAAGACCATCCGAAAAAAAAAAAAAAATAAATAAATAAATTTTAAGAACCACCCACATAGATTACTATAAACCATAAAGATAATTTATGTAATTTACCTAAAATAAAAACTATAAATTCCGACTTTAAGTGCTTGTTATCATCCATTGTTTTATAACTTGTTTTTCTAAATACGCTTTTAATTTAACTTTATTGTTTAGCTTGGGTTTCTTATCTTTAAATTAGTTATTAGTTATATTTGCTTGGCATAGTTCCATTTTTCATTGATATGGGACTAGAATGCGACTCGAAAGGTGTGTAGTTTTTTCTTTTTTTTTTCTTTTTTTTTTTTTTTTTTTTTTTTTAATAATTATTTTTTAAATAGCTGAAAGAAAAACTAATTATAAAAGAATAGCTTGAAGCCTTGAAGTGAACTTTTAAATTTTAATCCAAACAATCCAGCATGATGTGATTAAACAATAGTTGGTTTTTTAATAACTTTTTTGTACATAATAAATAACGATGCTCGTTATTTCGAAAATAAGAAAATAACTTAAATTAATGCCAGCATTCTCTATAAAATCTTAACATACACAACTAGTGCCTTTATATTTAACCATATTGCTTTACCAATGGATTAAGAATTAAGAAAATTCTTTGCCCTACTAATAAAAAGCCAAAAAGTTAGTATTATTTTAATAAGAGTTTGATAAATAGACTCTTTCTTGTCCCTTAAGGATTCACGTGATTGCAACATATATCTAATTATTCGTGGATTGTGCTTGTGTCTTATTTTATTAAAATATGACTTCTTTTTATTTCAGTTTTTCATTTTCATACCAAAAACTCTAAATCTATCTTTTAGTACAACTTTTTACGTTATACAAGAGAAAATGAAAAAAAATCTGTATTCGAAAATAAACTTTGTTTCTGTCATATTATAATACATTTTTTCTCTTCAACTAATTTTTATTTAACCATTTTCCTCTTTCATCTTATTAAAGTTAAATTATTGATATTTTATAAATTAAGATTTTTGTCCCTCATTATATTTTAAAGTTACGTTTTTGGTCCCTTATATAGTTTTTTTATAGTCTTTTTTTATTATTAACTTATTTAAGATACATTCCCTTGGAGGGAATCTAGTGGATTTAGGACCATGACACATCTCTCGAAGGGAAGTGGTGAATACTAGCTCAGCAAGAGATACACCTCTCGAAGAAAATGTAGTGATTTGTGCAGTGATTAAGTGTTGTGATTTTTCATTAAGCCATAGACTTACCATTGCGATTTATGTTTAGTTGTAGGTCATTCAGGTGCGAAAGGCAAGGAGTTGACTTCATTGGGAGTTCTGGACATTTTCAAGGGCATGACATTTACTTATTTATCTTTGGCGTTATGAATTTCAAAACTAAGACTTAGCTTCTGCATTTTGAAGATTTTTTTTGATACTTTGGATTGTGTTTGACGTGGATTGAAACCCTTATTTTGGAAATGATGTGTTGATTTTCAAAATTTTATAAGTGTAATTTTGGAAGTTACAGATGAACAATGAAAATTCTTGACAATCAAATCTGATTATGCTTCTGGGAAACTCTTAATGGTGAAAACCCTTAATGGTGAAAACCCTTAGTGGAGGGCGTCATCGATCCTTCTTGGAGTCATGAGCCATTTTTTGTTTTTGTTTTAGAGTAAAGAATGATCAATCAACATATACGGACGGTCAATGCCACATACTTCTTCTTTTCCCACTTAACCTTTTTTTTTGAACCACAGATTTTGTAAGAAAAACTAGCAAGAAGCTAGAAAAAGAAAGCCATCACAACAAATTACAAGCTGAAAGAGGATTATGTAACCAAGAGGTCCAACTAATTTTAGCTTTTCTATACCTATTAGAAATCCAAAATAAGGATCTATCAATGACCTCATCTAAAATAAAAGATTTTTTAGGTTGCGCCGTTCCAAAAATGATGGAGTTACGAAAATTCCATAAACATCAAAACGTAGTGAAAATGACCACATCAAAGGCTTGATGTTGCCCTCTTTTTAACGAAAGAGAATCAGGCCACGAAATAAGATGATCAATAGAGCTTAGAGGAGGAGTTTGAATGCCCTGCCAAATAGCAACACGAGTCCAAATCTCAATCAGCTGATTACAACCGGCAAAAAGATGATCAATAGATTCAACGGTATTGGAACATATTGGACAAATGATTGAATTCATAATGATCCCGCATAGAGAAAGATTATCTCTAGTAGGGATACTTCAAAGCTGCAATCTCCAAATGAAAATATTATTTTTACCGGTAATGATCATATGCTTACTTGAAGGTGCCACTTACTAGAAGGTAACATTAGAACAAAAGGTGCAATTCGATGGTATTTTTGTACAATGATGTTACTTTAATGATATTTTTTTTAGATGCCAAAGGTTGATAATATCTTTTGAACAATTCAAAAACATAGTTGCCTCATAAGTCATTTTCCCCGTATTATATTGTATTTTGTGAAACTAATGATTCAGATAAAAAATTATAAAATATGGGTAATTTGTATAATCAAGTCAAAGATAAAAGTTTAAAAAAATAAAAGAAATAAAGGTATCGAGGACAAAATGATATTGAAAGCAATTAGGCTAATGGAAGTGGTACGGTACCACCCTTGTGCAATGCTTATGCAAACAATTGTTTGTTATGACATAAGACTCCGTAAATCCTTGTAGAATTTTAGAGAAAATCAAAATTCAAAATCTTTAGTTATTTTTTTTATCTATAATTCATAAAAAAATTAATATTATATATATATATATATATATATATATATATATATATATATATATATAATATATATATATATATATATATAGGGTTAGGTTCATTTGAGACCACCTATATTTTGTGAGACCGTGAGACGCATTTTTTTATTTATTTTTTATTTTTTTTAGTTAAGTCATGTTCCGAAAATAATATTTAAAAAAAGAATTTTTTCATTTTTCCATTTATTTTGCATTTAAAAATTATTTTTAGAATATGTACAGTGTAATATTCTATTTAGAATATTTCACGTATTTTTCAAAAAAAAAAGAATTTTTTTATTTTTTATTTTTTTTAGTTAATTCAAGTTCCGAAAATAATATTTAAAATTATTTTTTATATATATTTTTCCATTTATTTTGCATTTTAAAATTATTTTTTAGAATATGTCAGTGTAATATTCTATTTAGAATATTTCACGTATTTTTAAAAAAAAAAAAAAAAACGGAATTTTTTTTATTTATTTTATTTATTTTTATATTTTTTTATATTTTTTAATATTTTTTTTAGTTAATTCAAGTTCCGAAAATAATATTTAAAAATTTTTTTTTTTGGATTTTTCCATTTATTTTGCATTTTAAAATTATTTTTAGATTTGGTCTCACGGTCTCACAAAATTAGAATGGTCTCAAATGAACCTGAACCTATATATATATATATATATATATATATATATATATATATATATATATATATATATATATATATATATATATATATATATATATATATATAGGACAAATTACACGAATGGTCCCTATGATTTAGGGTGATTTGCGCATTTGATCCCTAACTTATTTTTCTAACTCGGATCGTCTCTACTGTTTGTTTTTGTTTCCCGGTTGATCCCTATCTAACCTAAAAGGCTATTATGTCCTCGTTAATTTTTTTAATAAAATTTATTATGTTTTATTTATTTATATTATTAAATAAACAAAACCTAACGTTATCCCACCCACAACCCTCCTCTTTTACCTTTTTCATCTCCTTCTCGTTTTCCACTTCATGTATCTCTGTATCTCTTCCCCTTGCAAATCCAGATTCTTGTTCTTTCCAATGGCCGACGACCATCTGTTATCACCACTCCTCTGTCGTCGTTGCTACAACCTAAAAAAAGGACACCGGCCGCCGCTACTACAGACCAGAAAAGAGACCCTAGCGATCTTTCATATCCTTTCCACTAGATCATCAACGACATGCAGGTCCATCTTTGTCGACGCTCCCACTGCTGCCCAATGCTCGACATCTTCACCCCTCAACCTCTGTTCCAAATTCAGACCATCCCTTTCTCTCTCAAATAACGTCGATACCAAAACCCCAAAAAAACAATCTGAAAAATCAAACTGCACAATCACCAATTCAAGGATTTGTCATCTAAAATCAGAGATTCAAGGTAACAATCTCCTTTTCTTCTAAACTTCAGTCGACTCTCCCTCACTGCTAGCATCAGGTTTTTTTCTTGAAAATTTCTATGGTCACTGGCATTGATTTACCATCTAAAATTGATTCTCAGGGGAGATTGGGATAAGAGTTGTAGATCCAAGAGATCGGGACTGAGTTGCACATCCATGAAATCGGGTTAGATTTCATGGAAATTTCATATATTGGGAATGGATTTGATTAAGGTTTTTTATTACATTTATCAAGAAGAAAACCAAAATTTCTGATTTCGTTGATGATGGTTTCACGAGCTTCATCAGATTTGATTACAGAGGTTTAAAATTTGGTTGTATCTTTGATTAAATTGTATTTGATTGTATTTGGTGGCGGTTTACCCGAAGATGACGTAGTTGTCGAATGGAAATTATCGAGCAAAAAGTAATTACATGGAAGAAGCACGTGAGGGGTGATTTTGGTAAAGGAATTGTTGGGCTTAGAAGATTGCGTCTTTTGGGCTCGTCTTTTTATATTGTTTTTGTATTACGGTATGGGCCTGTCCAACCGTGTGTCTTTTATGCTTTGTATATAAGCTTATGCTTGCATGCATATTAGGTTAAGGTTTTAGAGATCTGAGAATACGATATTTTCCAGAAGACTAAAGGTTTCTTTGATCATACTTGTAACCTTCCAATCCTCTACAGTTGATGTTCTTAATCGAGCTCTTCTGAGGATTTTGTTTTAATCATTCGACACGTTTGATTCAATCTTGTTCTAATATTTTACTGTGTTTATATCGTCATTGTTTACATCCTTGTTCAAGATCTAATCGATCTTTACAGATTAAAAGAAACTTTAATCTCTTCAATTGGTATCAGAGCAGGAGGCTGTGTAATTGATACACATCTTTTCTGTGAAAAAGATTCTCATTAGGGTTTTTCCGCAATCATCAATATTTATTGAGCCGTCATCTCTTTATTGACGTATCTTGATATTTATTATTTTGCCCTAATCTGCTTTATTACAAGTCTGATCTTTGAACAGGTTTTTCGATCATAATGGATGCAACACAATCAAACGTCATTAATATTTCCAACAACATTGGTTCGACGACAAAGATTCCGATCTTATATACCCATGATTATGAAGTATGGGCACATCATTTTGAAGACTATGTTATTGGATCGGAGGAAAATGGGTATTTGATTTGGGAAGCCATCACCAACGGACCGTTTTCTCATTCGGCAACGTCCAGAATCATCAAAACTCAAAAAGAATACAACGATCTTCTCAAGGACGTGAAAGATATTGCACAAGATGAAAAGGATAAGTTCCAATGCAATATCAAAGCACTTAGATTGATCCGGTTCGCCCTTCAGTCCGATACATTCAGATTGGTTAGCTCGTGCACGACGGCGAAGGATGTTTGGGACAGACTCCGCGAACTATACTCTACAGACGAAGATCTTGAACATTCTATTCAAACTCTGCTTCTATCTGAGTTTGGTGAATTCAGACAAGGGGCTGAAGAATCTGTGATCCAGACGTTCGATCGATTCAATCATCTTTTAATCAAGATGATCAAACATGATATCGAAAGGAAGCTCATCGAACAGAAGGTTACATTCCTGAATGGTTTAAGGTCTGAATGGAGAGCAGTAGTTTCCACGGTTAAAGCCCATGAGCAATTTAAATCATACTCTTTGGCGAAACTGGTGGGAATTCTCAAGTCTCAAGAGAAAACTGTGGTGCAAGAAAAGAATGTCGTTTCCGGTCTCGGTTCGTTGGCTCTCTTGTCAAAAAGTAAAGCCGTTATGGAGGATGAAGACCTCAGCTTGGAAGAATATGATCTCACATCAGAAGATTATGCCTTGATGGTATCCAATCCCAAAAGGTTCATAAAGAAGAAATTTCCCAGCAACAAAAACCGAAACTGGCAGGGAAGTTACAGCTCTGAAAAGGTGGTTAATGAACCGAAAGCTGAGGAGCACAAGAAGGAACCAAAGGTTGACGGAGACTCTGGGGTGAGCTGTTTCTACTGTGGTGGGAAAAATCATTATGCTAAGGACTGTGTCCTCAAGAAAATGGCTGAAAAAGATGATGGGAACGATGAGGAAGCTGTGTTGCAGAAAAGACTGGATGAATTGAGAAAGAAGAAATCTGCTGCTAACCCGCCTAGTAATGCTCTTATTGTGCAGGGTTCTGTTCCAGGTGATGAGTTCGGTAGCACGGAAGTTTGGTCTATCGACTCAGAAGACGAGGAAGTGAGGCAGCCTACTCATGGAAAGGCGTTCGTGTCTAAGGAAGAAGGCAGTGGTGGTAAATGTCTTATGGTTTCTGACGTATCTCAATTGAGGGGATACAACACCGATGGAGGCAATGATGGACAGAATGCAAAGGAGGACATGTGCTTCACAGCCAAACCACTCAGCCAGCAGTTCAATGAGCTTGATGAACTGATAAAGAAGGTACAATCTGTTTTTATTTCATGTAAAGTACCATCATCTTCTTATGAGAAAGAACTAAAAAATGTCAATACAAGAATATCTCATCTAGATAGTAGCTTAACTCAAACTCGGGTCATAAATTCTAACCTAACTGATCAATTGAGCAGGGCAGCTTCGAAGAGTGAGGAGCGGAGAATGTGGATAGAGTTAAAGGAATCGGAATTAGTCAAAGTTAAAGATGAAAACATTTATTTGCAAAGAGACAATTTGAAATTGTTAAAACAGCGAAATGTTTTTTGTTTAATTGCTAAACGTCTGTATTCTAATATTATTCAGCTTCACTTGGATTGTGAAATAGGCCAAAGGATTCACCGCATGATCTTGCCCTTCCTAGAATTTAAGGAAGATGAAATCGATGCCGAAGCCTATAATTGTGAAAGTGTGATATCGTCTGATGACATAAATCCCACCTACATGTATGGACTGGACAAAATTGAGTCCTTCATTAAATCTAAAGACCACAAGCTCATGCTTAAAAATCTTTTGGATGAAAATGACAGACTTAAACTGAGGACCGAAACCATGCAAAAATTTGACTTTTTAAACGCCAACGTAAGCTCAGAAAACAAAATTGATGTTGAAAATGCATCTGAGATTAACGAGGATGACAATATGAGTGAAATTTCTGTAGAGGACACGGTTGACTGCTCAGAATTTATTAAAACCGAGCCAGAAAATCACAAGAATCTAATTTCTGAAAATTCTGTAGAGTTCGCTCGGTTGTCCCATCAAAAGTCCCCGAAATTAGTTGAGAAAGCTGTTGTGTATCAAAAGGTCAGGACTACTCCAAATCAAGTATACAAGGTAACAGGAGTAACCGAACATCAAACAGCTGAACTTGCAGCCATTGTAAACGAAGACAATGCTGATGGCTGTGATGAATACTTCTGGGAAGCTCCTATTGATAATGCAGACGAAACCATTGGTTTATCTGAAAGAACTTCCTGGAAGAGCAAAGGAAGATACATACCCGAACCATTGAATAAGCCAAATAACTTCAATGAGCCGAGCACTAGTGGTACCAAAGATACTCCTCAGAAGGATGTTCACTCACCAAAAGAAGACATTCCTTCGGCTCCTTCAGCTCAAAGTAATTCTACCGCAGTTCAAATGGAACCGGTCAAGGAGTCAGCAAAAACGAAAGCAAATGTTCATCATCAACCTTCTCAGATGCGGAATAGGAAGATAGAAAGGAATAATAGATACAGGAAGAACCTTTCTGAAAGGAAACAATTCTGGCGTTCCCAGAATGCATACTTCACTCATCAAGACAAGAATCTAAAGTATGAAAACATTCCTGCAGAAAAGCTTGAAAGTCACAAAAACCGAAAGCCAAGGTTCGGTTCACAAGAAGATATCAACCGAAAGCCAAGGTTCTGTTCACAAGAAGATATCAACCGAAAGCCAAGGTTCGGTTCACAAAAAGATAACAACCGAAAGCAGAAGTTCGGTTCTGAAAAGGATATCAACCAGAACCAAAGGTTCGGTTCCAAAGGTAGCTCCAACCGAACGCAAAGCTTCGGTTCTGAAGACAAAAGAGTACAAAATTCTAAGGTCGGCCCCTCCAATGATCAAAAACAAAAGGGTCACCTAGAGTCTCCTTCTAAGTCTAATTCTTCTCATTCTTCTCATTCTTCTAATTCTTCCTCACCCTCTGTTCCATCTCGATCTCGTTCTAAATCCGACTCTTCTTATTCTCAAAAATCTAATTCATCAACTGAGCAAAAGTGGAAGCAGAAGGTCAGTAAATCCACATCAGAGACTGAATCTAACTCTACTAGTCTTAACAAAATAAAAGTTTACACCATTAAAAGGAAAGATAAAACAACTCTCGTAAAAAGAACTTATCTTGTTGATATCTCTCTCATTTCTCCTGTTTCAATGCAAAGCTCACGTGGACCCAAGAAACTTTGGGTTCCTAAATCTGTCTAAATTTTGCAGGTTATAAGTGACGAGCAGTTCGACAAGAATGTACATTGACAGTGGCTGCTCGTGTCACATGACAGGGAGAAAGAGGAGCTTAGGAGTACAGATCGCTTGCAAATGGTGGCAACGTCAAGTTCGGAAACAATTCTTTCGGCACCATAAAGGGATACGGGATGATAACCAATGGGGACTTCTCTATAAGGAAGGTGGCTTATGTGGAAGGACTCCAACACAACCTCATTAGTGTATCTCAACTGGTTGGAGGTACAGGTCTCAAAGTCTCATTCGATGATGAAGGTTCAGAAATCATAGAGAAAAAGTCAAATAAAGTGATTCTCAAGTCAGAGCGAAGGGTGAATGTTCCCTTAAACATGAAACCCATCAAAGGAAACCCGCTGTATGCTTATTGTCAAAGCGCAATCCAACGAAAGCTGGTTGTGGCACCGAAGATATCTCATCTTAACTTTAAAGATATTAACCGTCTTGTTACAGGAGGTCATGTAAGGGGCCTTCCTTTACTCAAGTTCGACAGGGATCAATCTGTGTGCTGCATG